CGCCTTGAAGTGCGATGAATAACTCGACTCAGTCGCTTCAACTTGGGCCAGTCTCGTCTCTTGAAGCCTTGTAGTTTCGTCAGAACTTGATTTGTATCCACCCGCTTTACTAATGGTAGCCGATCTTGTTTGAATGGAGTTGTTGCTTTTCCATTTGCCGTCTTTCGTTGCGAAGCTTGTGCAAGCCGTGTTGGAGTCATGAGACCCGGTACCAGGGTCATCTTAGGCACTCTATGACCCATGGGTAAATGTCGAGTTTTGGGCAGTGTGGCCGTCACTGTATTTACCGAACGCTCAGCTCCATTCTTGACGGTAGTAATACGATCTTCTCGGGTGTTGTGTAGAAGAAGTAAAACCAACACGATCATACACCTTATGTAACATTCATTGGAGATTTGGTTCCGCCTATCTGACGGCGTTGTTTTTTGTAGAACGTTGCCGTGGCTTTGGCTGATCAATTCATTTCCGGAAGCCATGATCTGGCCGGCACAGATATCGAACCTTCCACACGCGCCGTAGATTGTTGGAATTGAGCTCGAGCGTGACTTATTGGATGTACCATCATTGACGTACGGGAGTAGCAATCTTAAGTAGTCATTGGCTATGCCACGATAACACAACGACGTGGGGGTGCGGCAGTACATTATAATATCATGTCGGTGAGAATTGCCAACTTTTTGAGGTGGCTTACAAGTTGCGGGCTTCGGTCCAATCAGTATCAAGGTGGTCTTGATGCCAACCAGGGGATTTGCACACTAGATAGCTCGCCCGTGGGGATAGCACGGCTCTCTCCATTCCGGACTCAATATTAGGAAAGCGCGAACTCACATTCTGTATGTATGACCTAACCGAACCATGTCGCGTTCACCAAATTTTCTATCTTCACCATCTTCGCCATTTTCAGCGTCCTCACCACCTGCATGGCCCTCCATCCGAGTCCCATTGAGTCAGGTGAGGTGGTGTCCACGACGCAGTTCAATGATCATTTCTGCTCCGACCCGGGGTAAGACCTCTCTGCGCTTCGGGTTATCATTATCGCAAGCTAGCTAAAATTCTAACACTACAGTACATGTACGCAATCTTATCAGGGAAATTGAATTTTCAGAAAAAACCGTTGGCTCGGATTATCAGTATCAATATTTGGAGAGATTGTAAATGGTTTCTGAGAATACTCTGTCACCCAATGCAACTCAAAAATGCCCTTCAAGTATCAATTGAAAAGTGGGAAATTTCCGCTCTCTGAGCTAACCTCTTGTCACTTTTTAGAAGGGAATCTTCGACTTCCGGTTGGAAGACAGAGGTCGATCGCCAAGCGCACTTACACAAGTGGCGAATGATTAAATAGTGTAGAACAAAGATCCCGATAAGAGCAATACTGCCCCCAAGGGCACTGCTGAGTATCAATACCATTCCCTGTTTTGAAAGCCATGCTGATATGTTACTGCCATAGATTGCCGTGTCTTGCCATTCATGGTTTGAGGGTTTTGTGGCTGATGTTGTCCCTGTCATCGGCGGACTATTTTGAGGGGTGGCCGTTTCTGCCAACGTCCTTGGCATAGTTTGGCTTTTATGAGTAGGTACCTCATATATAGAATGACCCATCGTCCCACTAGTACGACCAGCAGTATCAGACTGCTCGGTACCAGAAAGTCTATCGCTTGTGGTCTCCTTTTGTGAAATCTTCCTCTTCCCAGTTTCCCCGCTCGTACCATTTTCGGCATACTCCAGGCTCGTCGAATGATCTGTAGGCGTTGGGTAAGATTCTGATGAATACTCAGCGTGCAATGCATCCGAACTCTCTAAGATTTGCTGATGGGTACGATCGAACGAAAGCGGCGAAAGGGTGATTTTGCTAATGACATCCTGAAGCAGGGGTGTAGCGTCGCTCTTTAAATCTCCTTTCGGCGAGAGGCTTTCGCTACTAAATCCAGTGTCGATGTACTGTTTGCTTGTGGCACTATTTGATAGACCTACCGCAGTAGCTCCTTCAGTGTGCTCGAGTTCCATCGCAGAGTCAACAGCAGATATGCTGAGTGGAGAGCTGGAGTATGATAGCGAATCACCAGAACATAATGGTGGGTGCAATATCAGTGAGGAGAATTGTTTCGAGACTGATGTTACGTGAAGTCGTGAGATTTTCTCAGGTAAGACCTGACTTGTCCGAGGACCAGTGGCTTGAGTCAATGGAGGCATCCATGAAGCCAGCGTCGGCTGCGAATCCTTCACAGTCAGCGATGGTGTCCAGAGAAGCAGAGTCTAACTTCGGGAGGCCGTGGAAAACATAATAACGGCGGGTATAGAGACATGTTTCATACTTACGATTGCTGAGGGACAGTATTCTCTTTCCATTGCAAGTAGCTTCACAGTCTGAATTTGTACCAAGAATGGGACGTCCAGAGTGTATAGTATCCTCCGCCTGATATAATTGACCTGATATTATGTCTGGGCATGCTTCTGATACAGTGAAAATCAGGGATTGCGGTAAACTAAAGCTGTTGTCTCATCTGGCGACAGAAAATTCCTATGTTAGAACCTCAATTTCGAGCCGCATCTTTTGATCCCTTAACCGCACTTTAAGTTATAACAGGTGAGGATCGTTGGAATCTCTGGGGATGTGGTGCCCATCGTTGAAGATGCTATTTTCAACTATTCGGCCATAGCAATTGTTCGAAATAAATAAATGCTTTAACCGGCCATGGCGGGCGACTACTTTGATCGCAGCAAATTAGTCTAAAAATGGTGCCCGCCCTAAGCCGTGTCAAGCGAGAGCAACTCCGCAAGCGCCGCAATAATCTGTTACGGCGGCATAACGAATTTTGGCTTCTGTATGGGATGAAAAGCTGGCTCATTATGGAACTGCCTGATGGTCAAATCTTCACGTATCACTCTCATCCCGATGTCCTTCCGCCGTCCAAGGAAGATATGGTAAGACTATATTCACATGAGGGTTTAATGATTGACCGCTAATTGGCGAAAGAACACGCGCTCCAAGCCCACTGTCGTTCGAACACCTCGCGATTATAATTCCACGGCCATTGCTCAGTCAGTCGGAAGAGACCTCCCTGTCCCCTACGCTCCAATACGTGAAAACAAAAAATGGGACGCTCTGGCGCAGCACTTGAAGAATTATCGTCGCACGGTCTCGTAGTAGTACGTACCCTTTACATTGCTGATTGGTACATGTTGGGGCACAGGGGGTTCCTGGCTCATTCCGAGCATTAGCAGAGCAAACGTAGTCGCCAGAACCAAGGGACTCGGTTCAATATAATGACATTTCACTGTCTTCAGCCATTTTCGCAGAACTGTTATGGCTTCTGCTATCATACGGTACATATATTTTGTGGGTGTAGTATTTAAAGACAGGGACAGATTGGGAACCCTTCGTCACTCTAGTAAACCGAGGAACTCTCAATCTTAAAACGCCTCTGTGTGACATGTGACACATAATAAAGACCAAAGCTATTGACGGTGCGTAGTCTGTACTTACGTCCACCAATTAATATCGACTTCGCAATGCGTCCGCCTCAATTAAACAGGTATCCTTCTACCAGGTAGCTATGTCGAAACGCGATCGTTACGGTACACTAGTATGGGCATAACTAGTTGAGTACTTGAGAGTCTAGTCTAAATACTACAGCTGCAGAATAAAAAAGGGGGTTGGAGCTTTGTAAGGTCGTCGAGAGCCTGGCGATCATATGGGGATGCAAGAGTAGAGTTGCAACCCTCAGGGGAAAATGACGATCGCAAGCCCCGGAAAAGTCATTTTCCCGTATGCGCCCCCACTACCTACGTGTCACGTGCCTTCGGCGATGTCCGTGGAGTCGACCGTGTTTTGCGCTTGGATCAAGAGAAACTGGAGAGGTCATAAGTGAGTCGATCTTTTGCAGAAGGGGCTGCATAATTACCGACAGGTCCACTAGACAGGTCGTGGTTGCGTCTCACGTTGTGAGCTGGTAGACGGACGGGCGTCTGCGTTGGAAAGAATTATCAGGGTAAATCCTCGCGATACAATACTACAAGAACAGCATTACTTACCATTGGTTCTGTAGTGAACATGATCGTCCTTAGAGGCCTGGAAGCCTGGTCAAGACTTAGCATTTCGCGAACTCGCACTGCAAAGGAAGGGTCATACCACTGGAATCGCGACCAGCACGACGCTCAGAATGAATACCACCAGCGCAATCATGTTATTCTATTCACAAGGCGAAATTATTGTGTAACAGATAATGAGGAAGAGCCTACTGCTATATAAGCGGTGCGATAGGCTAATCTAAGGAAACAAGAAAGATGGTGTTTACGGTATGAAAGAGCGACTGCTGTGAAATTTCAACCTATAATGGAATAGTCCGCAACAACCTGATGCGAATCAAAAAATGAGGAATGTCTTATACCGCTGAAACAGTCATCTCAATTCTACGAGGTCCATCCTCGTGGTTCCTCGTGGTCATACAACAATATATATCTCAGGAGACCTCCCGCACGCAAGCTCCATATGGGTTCGTAGATCTCCAATGCTATCTAACCCAACACCAAAGGGCTGAACTGCACGGAAGCTCCAATCAGCTCTATGGCCCAGAACGATTTGTTATATGCGGGTATGTCGGATGCTCCATCATTGATAACCCAGTGGCGATAAGCTAACCATGTCGGACAGGGGTAATGGAAAGCATAACCTCATTACGCGGATTTTCTGCTGGGTACATTCCCTTTCGCGCTCAGCACCAGATCCTGCAGGTCATACAACGACAACTCGAAATTCATGCTTTCCGCTTTATTCAGGAATGGCATTTAGCAGAGTCACTCGCGGCCGGATGGACGTGCCCAGAGGCCTTAGAGTTACACAAAGTTTTTCGGTTCTTCAGAGCTCATCGAGAGAAAGTCAAGGATGAATGTTATCAGTTAACTCTGAGAGCGTTGACCCGATGGCGTGGCGTGATCACTAGCATCCGCCACGCGGCTGTTCATCGCATTCCACAGGATCGAAAATCACTACTTAAGCTAATCCGCGCTGCCATCAAATTCTCGAAATGCACCGTTGGTTTGGAAGATTCCGAAAGTCTTTGTCGTCTTCAAGCGTTGGTGAAGAAGGTGCTTTCAGAATTCGACCAGCTGACAACCCAGCTAAAGCAAAAGGCCACCCTACAAATCTCATTGTGTGAAGCCCGCCCACGTCATTTAAGTCAGCGGTTGATCTTGCTTCCAGAAGCTGTAAAGCGAGTCCTTCAGTGTAGTGAAGATGACTTGG